ATTCACTTCGTCTTCGTGAACTCGGCAACCAGGTTACCGTTTTTTTTACTGTTTTTTTTTTTCCGGTATCCATAATGGTGGTCGAGTGGATCATGTTGTGCGGGGTCGAGAACCCTCACTCCGCGCAAGGGGGATGATCGCACCACGTTGTGTTAAAATGGTCAAGCACCCTCGAGGCAGTTACACAGTGCTTACAACTGTCTCTGGAAGTGAAAGCACCAGAAAATAAATTAATTCATACGCAGCTGTCATCCGTACGCAAGGAAGTAAGCACAAGATGCCGAAAACCCTTAGCAGGATGCAGCGCACCCTTCATGCGACTCGCCGAATATCTCACGGCGCTTCGCGCTTGGTGATGTGAGAGCCTGGTCCGGTGAGAACCCGGCGTGCTCCGTCCCGGCTTTGTAGGGATGCGAGGTCAATGGTCTAACGACTACGGCATGCACGACTATGAGTACACCCCCCGCCCTGTTGTTTCTCGATCGGCAGGTCCCGTTTCCCGCGGCCCAATGGATGGCGGAGGAGATGCTGGCGTGTACGGTGTCTGTGAAGATGGGGGGGTGAGCGTTGAGTGAATGCGCTTAGCATGGCGTTGCTATTACCGCTATCTAGACCTGTTTGCCGTAGAACCGGGGGCTCGATGCTTGCGGCTCTCTCTTTTGTCGCCTCACGCGATTTGTTTTCGTGTTGGTTGTTTGACGCGATGTTGGTGGCGGTAACACTTGAACGGACGGCGAAAGTATACTGAGCCGCAGAAGTCAACAGCACGCACTGCGCCAGAAAGTGCGACGAGCACAGCAATGTCTTCTTCGCGAAAACCGCACGTCGTTGACTGTGTATGACCTGCACACACCGTCGCAGCCAGTTAGTGTGTAAGGTGCTACGTACTTTCCTTCCTACATGTAAACGTTGCATGGGGTCTCTGGCTCACTCATACCGCGAGACTGCCGTAATGCGCAAATCCGCACCTATGCTAAACTCTTTTTTTTTTTTGCTGCCAGCGCATCGTCGTCGCGTGTGCAAAATTAACGAAGAGCTGGACAGTGAAAACTCTTTGGACGTTTCATTCGACTTCCTTGTAGGTGTCAACCATTCATGGGAACCGACCGATGTCACACGCTCAAACACCTGCCGCCTTTACCAGACCACGCCCTCAGTATCTATTGTTGACGGATTCTGCACCAGTGTGCGGTCTCGCGGGCATCGCTTCTACGGCTTCCACCGTGGGGGGGCCGTAGGACCGGTTTTTATTTTTCCTCGCATTTTTTTGCCGGCGCAACGTGCCCTTTGAGGGTGAGGGGTGTGTGTGAATGCAATATTTCCAACGGGTATCTCCAACGGATATGTGTCTCGAACGGGAATATCGTCTCGCTGTGTTTTTACGTAGCGCATATTTTCTAAGAGCCGTCGCGTTACTTGGTGTCCGCAGAACGCACGCCCTGATCATGGACAGCGGTGTGGTGGACTGCGTGCTGGAGTGCATGTGCGAGGACTTCAAACACTTCGAGGAACACGCTGCGAGCCGTCGGTTGAAGAAGCGCCCGCCCTCTGAATCGAAATCCTCCACGGGAAAGGTGAGGAGATTATTCAGGAGGAGTACGCTTGGCGGTATGGTGGTCAGCTTGCTTGCCTCAGATGTAGACGCAGCAGCGATCCCGCATCCTTGGATGAGACTAGCGAGTGGCATTCATTTTTTTTTTCCTTAATACAACACAACAAATCAATCTCTACCCGCTGATAAGGGTTCCAGGATAAATAATGAAATGATATTGGAGCACAACCTGGTATATTTGTATTGCGCGGCTTGGGAGCCCGCATGCTGCAGATGAAACTGTGTCGTCAACGCCCCTCGCCGAGATCTACTGTAGGCCTGCTATTGTACATTGGAATGCGATGACGGGTCTGGTCGCTGCGTAGCGTCGTTTGCAGCAGTAAGACGCCGTGCAATGCTTGCTTGAGTCACTGTGGTGTAGCTCTGCCCATATGTACCTACAGTCGACCCCGCGGTAAGGACGCACATGGTTTTTCCTGAAAAAAAAGCGTCCTTAAAGCGGGTTTGCGTCCTAAAACTTGAGGGGACGATAGCCCACCATCCCCGGGGCCAATGGAGGCATGCTATTCCTCAAACTACGCGTCTTTTGCTAAGGAAGGGGGTGGTACGAAAAGTCAGCATCGCCGAGACGACTGGCAACCGTTTGTTGACGTCGAACATATTTACAAAACCTGGAATGAGATGTACAGCAGTCGGGGACGTGTTGAAAACAACTACAGTACACCACTTTGTACTTGGCCAACGGATGTACTGCATAGCCGGCAGCGGACAAAGGAGGAAAGTCCAAGTAGATGAAGACACAGGCTTCCCTCGTTAGGGGGGGAGGCCCAGGTCGCAGTAGTCTTTTCCCACTACTAAGGGCTGGCAGTTCTCTTCGTCGAGATTTAGAGAGGAGAGGGTCTCAGAAGAGAGAGACAAGAAAGAGAGTGCCGCCGAAGGGGCGAGGGAGACCAAGCCCGAGGGTCTCGGATTCCCAAGCTCCACAGGTGGCGCCAAGAGGGACGCATCCACAGTCGGGTCTCTTGCTGATCAACCATCAGTAAGATCCTCCGTTCGGATCGTATCTTGGTCCTACTTTTGCATGTGCAACAACAATGGTTACAGCACTTCTACACCTGTCATCCACATCACCCCCCCCTTTATGCGCCACAAATTCATCTTTGCTGAGGATGCATTTTGGCGTTTCTAGAGGCCTTGGACGATATACATGGAAACAGGTGTTGGAAGTTTTGTCATACTGCTGTGTTGCAATATCTTCAACCGTGTCTGAGTCAGATTTTCCGTGTTGAGAAAACACGAGTTCGTCAAGCTCAGTTGAAGATGTGGTCCATAGCAAAAGTACAGAAATCAAACTAAAAATCAAAGATGCTTTATCTCATGCATGATTCTGACAGAAAATAATTTCTTCCGTTCAGATATATTCTAGGGTGGCCATACCCAGATTGTGTTCACGCAGTTGAATAGCAAACATGGTTTCAGCTACAAAACAGTTTGAAACTGATAGCTTCATATACCATGCCTGGGAAAAAAAAACTTTTTGGCTACAAAACAGTTTACCGATGTGTCACGGAAACTGGTAACTCATTTTACTCATGCACTGTTCGTCATAGCACGCGTGGATCAGGCGCTTGCTGGATGATAGTGCAAGAAAAAATATATATATATGTCGCAAAATGACAAACAATCACGGAAAATTGGTCGCGTGGCCAATCGTGTTAATATCTTGATTCCGTCTTTTTTTTTTTTTACTTGAATGGATCTTCGTCGAAAATGCACTCAAGATATAGCCGAGAACCAAGGAGTGGACACAACGTAAATGGGGGCCGGTGAAATCGATCTGTCGTTCGCCTGTTGAAACCGTAAAACGTATCCACACGTCGCGTGGTTTCCGTTGGTTTCTTGAACAAAGCTGACAGCAACAATAAGTCATAAGACTCTCTCCTCGCCAGTGTTTTCTTAAGAACACTGAAAAAAATAAAATAAAATAGGGTGTACCAAAAAAATGTACAATGGGCGTCTCACTCGGTATACTATGGGTGATAGTTGCGAGCAGACGACGTATGGTCCCCGCCAAGGTAACAGCAATTTCGGGTTGGGGCCATCTGAATCTTGATATGGTCTGTATACCAGTACTTTATCGCCAGGTTTAAACACGGAAATCGGTCTAAGTTTTGGATTACTCGCCGCTTGCTCTTTTGAACGTTCCGTTAAGTTTCGGCGCGCTAATTCGAAAGCAATTTGTAAAATTTCCCGCGTGTCTTTTGCAAGTTCTTCGGTATTGGCTGTTGTTCCTACATGAGGAATACCGAGAATGATATCGACAGGTAGTCGTTGTTGTCTGCCAAACATGAGGAAAAATGGAGTTTCATGCATGGTAGCACTAAAAGAAGTGTTATGCGCCAGTTGTATGAAAGGTAGTAGCAATGCCCAGTTATCACGCTTCATTGAACTATGCATGGCAAGCATTGCGTGCATCGTTGAATGTAGTCGTTCCGACACAGAATTCCCTTGCGGACGATATGGCGTTGTGCGGGTTTTCTTGTAGTTCAGAATACTCTGTAACTGGTGGATCACACTATTCTCAAATTCAGGCCCTTGATCAGAATGCAACATCTCAGGCGGTCCAAAAATGCCTATGATGCGGTCAATGATAGCCTGAGCAACTGTGACAGCTGATTTATTCGGAATCGGAGTCAACACGGTGAATCGGGTTAGATGATCCATCATGGATAGGACATATTTGCATCGTACGCCGGCGGCTGACATCGATTCGCTCTTGTATTCAACTAAGTCCACTGAAACTCGCTCAAACGGTCGTTGTACTGGTACGTGTCCAGTTGGCAATTTGGTGCGATTGTGCGCGGTTTTCCGACGTTGGCATGCTTGGCACTCCTGACACCAAGTGCGAACGTCACGACTCATGTTCGGCCACCAATATTTCTGGCGGATCTTGTCATAAGTCGGTCTAGATGCTAGGTGACCTCCGGACAAAACGTGATCGTGGTAAGCGTGCAAAACTAAGCCCGTGAGAGCTTGCGGCAATACTAATTGATCAGTGAAAGTACTCCGTTTCCTGAGGTAACCTGGTAAATACGATTTGAACAGCAATCCGTCTCGTACAAAATAATAGGACATGGTTGTTGCTGTTTCGTTGTCCGGGACTCGTGCGTTTTCCCCCACAAGATAGTCGATGTATTTCCCATACTCGGCTGCTTGTTTTTTTCGCAAGATGTCTCGGTTCATCGTTTCAAAAACGTGGGTCGCGCTGATGTAAACCGAATTAATGGTAAACAATTCGCGATCACTTTGCACTGGTTTTAAATTTTCCAGGCGGTCTGCGGCCACTTGATAAGGTCTGTTCGGTACAGCTACATGCAAAGCAGGATCCTTGGGGACATTCCTACAAATCGGTGTTAGTTTCGGGGCTTCTAAGTGTTGCTGGTACTCAAAAGCAAACAACCGAGATAAGGTGTCCGGAACAACGTGTAACCTCCCCGGCTTGTGTCGCACGGTAAAGTCAAACGACTGCAGAGCGATAGCCCACCTAGTCAGCATATTTGAAGTGTCCTGCATGGTGTACAAGTATCTCAACGCAGCATGGTCCGTCACAACTTCAAAATGTCTGCCCCATAAATAGGGCCGCCAGTGCTGTATTGCCAGTACGACGGCGTAACATTCTTTCATGGTTGGGGAATAGTGGCGCTGAGCATTGTTGAATCGTTGGCTGAAATACGCAATAATGTTGAGGTCATCTCCTGTTTGCTGCGCGAGGAAAGCTCCAGCACCTGCTTCGCTGGCATCCACGTGCACGACGAAGTCTTTTGTAAAATCGGGAAAGTGTAAAATAGGTGCTTCCGTGAGCAGTCGTTTGACTGTCGCAAACGCCTCATCATGTTCGTTTCGCCAACGTTTTGCAATCGATTTTACGTGCTCTTTTTTAGTGAGGTCTACCAACGGCGCTAACACCGTGGACAAATCTGGGAGAAATTTCCTCACAAAATTTATCATGCCTAAAACTGAACGGAGTTCTTTGATCGTTTTAGGAGCGGGCAGGTCAACAATAGCTTTAATGCGGTCGTCTCCGATTCGAATCCCTTTCGCAGACAAAATGTGACCTAAATATTTTACTTCCCTTGGCCCGAATTGTACCTTGGAAGGTTTTAATGTGAGCCCTGCGGCTTGAAGGGCTTGAAATGTATTTTCTAACAATGTAAGATGACTTTCCCAAGTCGAACTACAGCAAATGATGTCCATGTAAACAAGGAGGCCACTTCGGGGTCCAAAATGTGCAAATGCTAATGACATCATGCGAGCAAATAAAAACGGGGCGTTCGCAATTCCAAAAGGGAGACGTTTAAAAACCCATTTTCCTTTTTGAGTTACAAAGGCGGTCTTCTCTTGCTCCGCTGCTGCAACGGGTATCTGGTGGTACGCGCTCTGCACGTCACACACAGTGATAAACTTTGCTCCACCTACTGTATCAATGTGGGCATTAATATCGGGCATAGGCCACGACTTTCGGATTAAACTCTTATTAATGGTACCGCGATAATCCACACAGAATCGAGGGGTTCCGTCGGCTTTTGCTACAATAGTAACCGCCGATCCCCAAGAACTCGGTCGCTGTTCAATGATATCATCAGCTTCCATTTGTGCTGTACATTGATCGATCACTTCTTGTGCTCGTGGGTTTGCACGGTACGGTGCCCGATCAACTGGTTTTGTACCGGGCTCGAGCGGAAATTCTGCCTCGGTCAAGGTGCATTTCCCCAGTTCTTTCGGCGATAGGGAAAACACATTCCTGTAACGGGCACATAAATCGAGAACTTGAGAGCATTGTTGGGGCGAGAATGTGGTATCCGAAAACGCTTTCTTCATCGCCTTGTTCAATTCATCTCTCTTTTTCCTAAAAGTCTGATGATCATCGTTGACGGCGCTAATCGTTTTTTCAGACACCGTCTTAACTGGAGAAATATACCCTAAGATAGTATCCCGATCCAGGTGAACATGTCTATCAGACGG